TGGTCACTCCGGGGTCCGGGCAGTACCTCAGGGGTCCCGCTGCTCTCTCCCGGCGGGGCTGTCGAAGCCCATTGCTCGGGACTGCTCCTGCCGAGCAGCATTCTGCAGCCCCGGGGTTTTATATATATATATATTTATATAAATTTATATGGGGAGAGAGGGTAATTTGGCTCTGCGCGCTGCAAATTGTACATTTAAACAATGACACAGTTTTTCCACTCCGTTTGGCAAACCCCGCCATCAGCCCCTCAGTGTTGTCGGGGGTCCTCAGCCCTCACGGCAGCAGCAGCCACGGACGAAGGGTTAAACATAAACTTTAAACATTCCTTGTCCCGTAGGAGCTCCTTTTCTGTGAGCCGAGGTGGGCTTTTCCCCCCTCTCCTTAAATAACGAGGGTGGTCCCAGCATACTCTATATCGAGACAGCTTTTCATCAGTTGCTCATCAGCATGCTAATTGCTGTATGACTAATTATGCCCTGAATTCCAGTTGATTTTCTTAATGAGACAGCTGGGTTAATTATGTAATCGTATGATTACATTAGCCCAGAGTGCCCTGGCGAAAAGGAAGGCGGGCGGCACTGGGATGTCACCGGGCGAGGGGCACGGGGGCAGCCGTGGTCATTTTGGCCGTAATGATCGGGGAGGGCAACCCTGCGCCAGCGCCCACGGTGTCAACACCGGGATGGGATTGTTGACACTGAGAGCTGTGCCTTCTTCCAGCTCGCAGGATGGGGGAGGAATGGGAGTTGATCAAGAAAACTCACTTGGGAAGTTCAGACAGTCATCGATGGCCCTGTTGTATCTCAGGGATTGAGATTTGGGCGATGTGGCGTGAGGGTTGGATTGTAGAGTCACAGAATATCCTGAGCTGGAAGGGGCCCATAAGGATCATCAGTCCAACTGGGCACAGCACAGCCCCAACAATCCCAGCCTGGGCATCCCTGGGAGCGCTGTCCAAACACTCCTGGAGCTCTGGCAGCCTCGGGGCCATGCCCATTCACTGGGGAGCCTGGGCAGTGCCAGCACCCTCTGGGGGAAGAACCTTTCCCTGATATCCAGCCTAGACCTCTCCAGAGGTCCAGCCATTCCCTCCTGCTGTCACTGGTCACAGAGAGCAGAGATCAGAGCTGCAGACTCCAGTGAGTCTCCTCTCAGTCTCCTCCAGCTGAACAAAGCAAGTGTCCTCAGCCGCTCCTTGTACGGCCCCTGCTGACCCTTCACTGACTGTGTCCCTCCTTCGGACACTGTCTTTAAGCTTTATATCTTTCTTACATTGTGGCGCTCAAAACTGCACCCAGGGTGGTGAGGGGCTGCCTCATGTAATGCATAGTCCAGGCAAAAGCAATCTTAATTTTGTTTGTGAAGTCAGTACTTTACATACCTAAACAGCAGCAAAAAAAGAAAGGTTTCCTTTCCCTGAAAAAATATCCATCGTCAGGGCATGTGCGTGGTGGGAGAACAGCCTGAGAGGTGTTGCTGCGGCTGCATCACACCAGCTCGTTTGATGTGAAGTATTAACTGCTATAAGAATAGCTTGGCATTTGTAACATTAATTGTTTTTGTGTCTGTGTCCACTGAGACATGTTCGTCCTCCTCCTTTGTGGGGACAGAAGTGAGGTGTGTCCCACCAGCGAGCAGGGGATGTGCCCAGAGCTCTGCAATCCCTGGGGAAGGAGAGGCAGGGGCGAGCTCTGCAGGGTTGGAATACGGTGGTTTCTGTTTCTTCAGTGGTAGCGTGGAGGAAACCCCGTCAGGGATCGGATCCAGATGTGCTGGGCTGCCTGCAAGCACAGGATGCAGAGGGCTTCTCTGTGGGTATGGCATTCAACAAGTGGATTAGGGAAAACGAGGAGAATAGGAAGCAAGAGAAAGAAATACACTAAGTTTAGTGTAAAAATAGACATCTCAATCTACTCTCGGGCAGTAAGGATCTTGCAAAATGCTTCTTCAAGTTCTGGATGATCAGATCCCTTTTACTAATTTTCTCATTTTTTTATTTACCCTGTACCTAGCAGGGATTCTGGAATTTCACGAGAGAAAACTCAAAGCAAGGGAATAATGTGTGATGAGGTTTCCATATTTCAGTGTTAAACGAGGTGATTTTTCTCTCTTACAGACCACAGAAAGGGCATTTCCCTCGTTGCCTCTCTCCATAAGCCAGGGCCAGTTGATCTTTTTTGAGCTGTGTATGCCTGTTGTTTGTGTAATGAATCGAAAGTTTTGGTCCATTGCTTGTTTAAAAATTCAGTGACCTCCTGTTAAATGACATGAAACATACTTTGCAAACCTGGTTAATATAAAAAGGTATGCTTTTCCATGCATGCATGTGTTGGGAAAAAGGAGAGTATTTTTATTTATTTTTAATCTGCTCCACTCAGGTAGGAAAAAAAACGTTGTGACTCTAAGGTTTATGCTTGTTTCAGGTTAATTGGTGTTTATAAATACTCCAGAAATAACAGGTTTTAGGTTTTTCAAGCTAAAAGCGCATGTTGGAGCTTGCCATGAGAAATGATTTTTCTCTCTGCCCAAAATGTCTTGGTTGGTCATTTTATTGTTATACAACTATTAGTTTTCTTTAATGCAGTTTATAAAAATTAAGTCTAAGAGGTGCTTCACCCATGGGTTTTTTTTACATGTCCTCCAGCAGTATTTGGTGGCTGCAGGCCATTAGTCCTTCAAATAGGCTCTAGTGAAGTTTGAAGTTTAATGCACAGAGACTTTTTTTACATTTTGTTTGTTCTGCCACTGTTTTGCTACTTGAACATTAACCTTTAATAAAGCTAAATTAAATATACATGTCCTGATGAATAATTATGAGATTGCAAGCATTTTCATTTTGTACATGAAGCTTCTCAGGGATTGCAAATGTGACTAAAGGTTTAGTCATTATTCACTTTATAATGCCCATGTTATTTTTGTCTTTCAATTCTTTACTGATTTCAATATAAAAAGCCCTGCGTATTAGGAGCAAAATACTTCTTGTACGTGTCCTCGCTTTTTACAGTGGGCATGTTAAAATGAGGGTGGGGAAAAGTGCACCCACAATTTTGTCTAATTCAGTTTCTTTCATCGTGGCACTTTAACACTATTTCATAGAAATGCACACAGCTGAAGCTTAAGATCCTGGGCCCGATAGGATTTGTGGTTCCTGTAACAATTTAAGAAGTGGCCAGAGCGAGACAATCCGGCCTTTCTTTGTGCTCAGCAGATGAATGTCCCGGGCTGGCTCTTTGGGGGATGCTGAGCTTCAGGAGTGTGACAAAATGCTCCATGCAGAGGAAGGTCAGGGACCTCCATGGGAGCAGGGGAATGTTGTGACAGCCCACACCGTAACAGGACCATCCATAAATACTGCAGAGCCTTCAGCTCGTGCTACTGCTGCCACTTCAGCTCTCTATTTAATTCCTTACCTGTACCCCCCTGTCTCTGCCACAATAACATTTTAAGTTTGATTTATTATAAATATTTTAATACAGATAATAATAACGAAAAGTATTTGGCCTAAAAAGCATAAATGAAAAAGCTATGTAGTCATAAACTATGTATGTGCAGAGAACAGATGACAAGCAACCTAGATTTTGTATTATGAACAGGGTAATGCCATAAGCTGTTGAAGAACCCGAGTAACAAAATGCAGCACGCTGCTACTTAGAATGTCTCTGAGCTCAACATAACCCAGTGCTATTCTTTTATAAACTATGCAACAACGCTGGCATATTGAAAAAACACACAGGCTCATGCTTAATGTGTTAACAGAGGTACAATAGACTTATTATGTGTTTCCAGAGACTGGAACTGAGGGTGGTCTGAAAAATTAATGACTGTGGTGGTTGAAAATTAAGTGAACTCCCTAATATATACTGTTGTTGATCCACTGAGTTTGGTGTTTAGCATTCCTCAACAGGAGACTAAATCCTTGCAGCCATTTCACAAGAGATGCTGGCGCCTATAGCAGAAATATGTTCAATAATCTTTTATAAGTCCATCATACTCCAGAGTTCTCCTGTCCTGAAGAAGTCCCAGAATAAATCACACATGCACATGTCAGGTGTGTGCTGAGAACCCTCTTTACAAGAAGGGGATGAACATCAGAGGATTGATAGTGAGAGGACATTTTATTAATAGTGTAAGAAAAAGAGAGATCCGAACCCAAGGTTCATGGAATTGATTATATCTACACAATTTTTCTGATTATTATTGACCTATTAATTGGAAAAGGTACCGTTTAGATCTCCACGGTCACAGAACCTGTTTGAGCTCTGCTGTGCAGGGTGATGCAGGTTGATTGCTTTTCACCCAAAAATTCTCATTTTGCAATAAGAAATGGAAGCTTAAAACTCTCACACGCTTTTGTATCATGACTGTCTGCTCTCAGGAACGCTGTCCTGGGGATTACTGCCAGGGTGAAGAAGCTGTGTCCAAATTCCCTGGAATCACAGAATGGTTTGGGTTGGGAGAGACCTTAAAGCTCATCCCATTCCACCTCCTGCCTTGGGCAGGGACACCTTCCACTGTTCCAGGTTGCTCCAAGCCCTGTCCAGTCTTGAACACTTCCAGGGATGGGGTAGCTACAACCAGGGCAAGCTGTGCTGGGACCTCACCTCCCTCACAGCCAAGAATTTTGTCCCAATATCACATCTATCCCTGCCCTCTGGCAGTGGGAAGCCATTCCCCCCTGTCCTGTCACTTCCAAGTCCTTGTCCCAAGTCCCTCTCCAGCTCTCTTGGATCCCCTTTAGGTGCTGGAAGGGGCTCTAAGGTCTCCCCAGAGCTTTTTCTTCTCCTGGCTGAACACCCCTGGCCCTGTCAGCCTGGTTCTGTATTTAAAGGGAACACAGAATGAAGTATTTCTGGTTTTTTATACAATGTAAGGAATGTACAGGTCTAATAACTCAAAGAAGGGCCCTGCTGGCACCAAAATGGAGAATAAAGGACTGCTCTGAACTGCTTGGGTCACAGAAGTGTTCCTGTTACATTTTATCTTACTGTTTCTTTTTCAGATCCGGTTCCAGCCTTGGATTTAGGACAGCAGCTTCAGCTGAAGGTTCAACGCATGCACGATATTGAAACAGAAAACCAGAAACTTAGGGAAACTCTGGAGGAATACAATAAAGAATTCGCCGAGGTGAAAAATCAGGGTAGGTTGCAACCTTATTATCAGCTTTAAATACACACTGAAATTTGAAGACAGGGATCGAATTCAGTTTTGTTTCTTAAAGGTAGAGGTGACAGTAGCATTGAAATTCAGTGGAGAAAGTGCAATAGTCTATTAGAGCCACTTCTGTATTTGTGTGTGGAGATGGGCTGTGGGCAGACTCTTTGGATTTATTGGAAGTTTCATTTACTGTAGCACCAAGTCAGAGGATGGAGTTGTTATTGTGCATATTTGATTGTAGCCTTCAGCACTGAAAATTACACCTGACTGACGTTATTTGTGACATTTTATGAGAGGCAGTGCTGGTACTGACATCAAGCTGAACGTGGGTGTTGGTACTTGGAGGATGTGCAGCTTGCACAGACAAACACAAAAATTCAGTATTTTGTACCCACATATGAATCTGTACAAAATGGAACTTTTTCTGTACCGTTTTTCCTTTTCTAAATGTACTACTGGAGTACATTCAGTATATGCCCTTTATTTTTACTCTAGAGACCATCCATAGAGCAATGTAAATACAAGCTATTACTGTTAAATTATTTAAGTTTTAATGAGACTAAAGTGCATGAAAATACATGAAAATCTCAATGAGATTTAAAGCCTGTTGGCTTTAAGACTGCTTAAGTTTTCTTGTGATTCAGTTTCCTGCACCAGGAAAAAATTTTTCTCAGCCATACATTTAGTTGCCCATCCATGGGAGTTCTCATTTCCATCTTTAATTCCCAGTTCTGGATGGTGGAAAGGTAAATTGTCTTGGCATTTGGAACAATGGAGATTTTATTTAATTTCTTATATTATGGAACTGTTGTACAGCCAAGTAACATTTGAAAGCTGTGTTAGCAACTAAGTTGGTTTTGTTAAATCTCATTTTTTGCTGAGGGAACATCTATGCAGTTATGCATTTTGGAATATATTTTGTTTTAACCTAGAGGGTGTGACCCCTGGAGAGGACAGGTATCAGCATGCCAGGGTTTGGGCTGGACTGCAGGAGATGTCATGTTGGAACTGTAATGCTCTAAGCAAGACTGTATTTTTGGCTGGAAATGTACAATCATTGCAGTTCACTGTGCAGTTTTCCTGAGGCTGTGCATCCAGTACAACCAAGCATGACATGGGGGTTCATCCCACAAAGTGGAAAAGCTCTTGACTTGTAGAGTTTTTTGCTACAACCACTCATAACTGACATTTTTGATTTTCCCTGCTGTGCTGGAACTTCCTTTCCATTTCCCCACTGTAGCCTTTGTGTTGTTTTTCACTCCAGTGCAGTGGTTTTACTCTCAGTTTCAAACAGGGATTAATAAGCTATCCAGGGAAAAGGCTGTTGTTAGCTGAGGGTGCTTTGATCAGTTAATCTCTTTGTTTGGAGGGCTGATATGAGCTCTGTGGTGCCTGTAAGAACTTCCAAAACTGGTATAAATGGCAGTGCCTGACAAGCTGTAGCTGACCTGAGCACTGAAGAAAGCACTTAGTGCTTCAAGCAATGTAGAGAATTCAGCTGTATGCTTAAAGGTAAAAACAGATTTTATTACGAAAGTTACATTTTCGTAGTTTTGTTTTCTTTTAAAATTATACATTGAAACTTAGTCAGGGTGCAATTACGTGAATTTCTGTGAGATTATTTTGCTCTCTGCTTCTCCATATACCCAGAATGTTTTTGCAGATTTATATCTGGAAACACCTGGAGCAGAGGTGTTCCCAGAAGGGAGTGCAGCACCCTTTGCCCACAGGAGCAGCATCCTACTGTCTGTGGGAAGGAGCATCCTTTGCTTATTCAGGAAGAGATCAGGATTTGTATGACTTCCCGGATCTCAGGGAAGAATTTCCCTTTGCTTAAGAAAAAAAGAAGTGACGTGTCCTTTTCACGGCCTGTTACTCAGTAATGAGCCTCAGCTGATTTCTGCACAGCCAGCAAAATCCTGCTCCTTCAGGCAGAGGCAGCTGCTTTGCTGGCGAACATTTTTATCACTCTTCTCCCCTTTTTTGTGGTCACAGTGGCCCAAGCTGCCTTTGGTAGTGCCCAGACAGCAGATCATGTCACCAGCTACCTCCTGTCTGCTTCACAGCTCCCTGCTCAACTCTCAGCATTGGGACTTTGAAAGGATTATGTGTGGGTTTGTGTGATATTATTGAGATTTTTTTCCCCCCCAAGCCCATAGGGTTTATTTTTCATATCAGGGTTTGTCTTCCTCTGTTTCTGCAGAATATGAAACTATTCACATCCAAGTTTCTACTTTTTCCTCAAGCATTATTAATGGTATCTCTTAATTAGCTGATGTCTTTAAGCCCCCCTGCATCCCTGTGTGAGTACTCTGAGCTGTGCTGCTGCTGTGAGTCTTCTGGCAGTCCAAGAATTTTTCCAAATTCCATTATTGTTACAAAGCATACTCTGGTGGATGTCCTGCTTTTCCTCTTCTGAGCCCTATAAGGATTCAGTCCTTTCCTTTGGGTGGGATCACAGGGCTTTCACGTAGGAACAGATCAGGGCACGTAAGCAGATGCTGAGCTGTAGCTCTGCAGGTTTCTGCGTCTGCTCTCAGCCAGTGCTGGACATGGGGAAATGCAGGAGAGCTCCTTTATCTGAGGGAAAGGTTCTGCAAATTCCCTGGAAGGCTGCAAGTGCCTCAGAAAGTTAAAATAGTCAATGTTGGTGTGTAAACCCTGGGGTGGGTGACGAGGCAGCGACAGCAACTGGGACATGCAGAGGTCCAGTGCCTGCTGTTGATGCAGCAGTTGGATCCCAAGTGCTGGGTTTCTCCTCAGCTGGGAAGCAGAAGAGAGCTGTAGCTGAGATATGTGTTCAATTAGTGTGAGATTACATCTGTGCATGAACCATGGTGGAACTACCTCTTAGTGCATGAGCACAGTCAGGTGAATTAAGTGTCCTGTGTGTAAATGCATGCTTAAACCTACACTGGGACTTTATTAATCTTCTTTCAGCACTGAGCTAATTTTAGACTAGTCAATAAAGTGATATTATATTTTACAATTGATTTTTTTCCCTTCTTTTTTTTAAAAAAAATTTGTGTTAGAGGAACCTTCTTCACTCTGCTTTCCAGCAAACTCCATTGATCCTTCTCAACCTAAACACTTAAAGTTCAATTTAACATTTAGGGAGTAAAAGGTCTCCAAAGGGACTCATATCCATTGATTTTGTGTCAGAGTTGAAGAGCTAAAGTTTAAAACACACTGAGCCTACAGGGTAAAGCAAGCCTTGTGTTGTGGAACCACGTGGAGCTGTGTAAACTCATTCTTCCCTATTGTTTTCCTGCAGAGGTTACAATAAAAGCACTTAAGGAGAAAATCCGAGAATATGAACAGACCCTGAAGAACCAAGCGGAGAACATAGCCCTTGAAAAGGAACAAAAGTTACAAAATGATTTTGCGGAGAAGGAGAGGTGAGTGTGTGGGTGTGGGTGTGTGTGTGTCTGGGTGTTGGGGAGGAGGAGAGAGGTATTTTTCTGTTTAATGTTCCCAGCCAGGACTGGTGGCTGGAGACAGCTCATCCATTGAGTGATTCCAGCGATTTATGCGTTTGACACGGAATCATTTGATACTCAACTTTGCCCAGGAAAACAATCGGGAGAGTGTGGAAGTGAAACAAGGACAGATTGTCTCTTCTCCGTGGTGTGGGGCAGGGGGAGGTGTCATGTTCAGGAGGGTGCAAACCTGTTTTTATTCCTCCCTGGCTGCACTGTCCTCTGTGACACCAATCTGTCTCCATTAGCCAGGGCAACTCTTCGTGTGTCACAGGCTCTGCAGCCCTGGGCTGGGGCAGATGAACCCCTGCACCCACAGCCTGGGCCAGGGAAGCACCAGCCCTGCTCCCCTGGGAATGGCTGAGATAAGGGATGTCTTCCTGAATTATCCTGGGAAGGTTTGCATCTTCCCACATGCCAAAATTAAGAAGGGTTTTAATTATTTACTATTGATTTAAACAAAAAAAAACAAAACAAAACAAAAAAACATTTTGGATGTGTTTCTGATCTTTTGCAAATGAGCAGGGAGCATTTGAATCTTTAGGCTGGTGGGCAAATAAATCAGGCAGGATAAAACCAAGGGGCTAAAGAGGGAGTTCTTTCAGGCTGCATTCCCTGCTTTGAGAATTTATTTCTCCCGCGGAGCAATAACACTGAAGCTATAATATGTTCAACATAGCGTGGAAAACCTTCAGTTCACGTGAGCTTTTTAGTTAGAGGGTTGGTTGTTTAAAATCAGGGCTGAGTGGGAAGAATCTACCAGTGAATGCAAAGCTGTATTTTGTATTCATTAATACCTGTGGTTACTTTTCTGCTAAGCAGTGTTTTTAACAACTGCAATTTCAATGTACTTAAAAATAAAACAAAATGGCAGGTCGTGGAATGCAAGTAAAAGTGTGTGTAAGAGAGGTTTTGAGGTCTCAGAGTATATGGTTGAGTATGAAGGGAGCTGACGCATGATTCTCGCTATAAATAGTTATTAACCTGGTCAGCAGTGTTGGAGAAGAAATTTGTGCACCCTATGGAGTGCAGGCAGGATGCTGGTAGTTTCATAAGCCATTTCACAATTCTGAGATCTGCAGAATATCCTAAAAGCAGTGTTGTAAAAAGCACGGCTCCTGGGAGATGTTGGAGCAGCTCCTTTCAAAGATGAGTTTTATAACTCCTGCAGCCTGGCCCTTAGCAAGGAGTGCAGTGGCTGCGTGGCCAGATGATGTAAAAATGAGTTTAACTGACACAAACTAGAAAATGTTGCCTGTGGACATAAGAAATGTGAGCATATTAAAGTTTTGCTCGTGTTCTATAGAAAATATCACTGTGAGATTTGTTTTGAAATATGTGTGTTTTCTTAAAGAGTAGCTAATAATATTACTGCGTTTGGCACCCATTACAGCTCTGATGAAACAGCTGCTGCATCTATTCACTCCATCAGTTATGGCAACAAATTCCTTCATTATGACACTAAAATGGAAATGTATCATTCTTCTTGTACTAACTTTGTACAACAGAGGGTGCTTGGTGACAATTTTCTCAATGTGTGTGACATTTCCAAAACAAATTATGCTCAAGAAAACCTTCCACTGAAGTTGTCATTTATATAGCAGTCAACTCTTTATAACGTTCACAGCTTATGTTATGAGGTGGCTACACTGTTAAAATTTTAATAAGTGGGACCACAAAGTAGGAACAGCATCTCACAACGTGACAGCGTTTATGGGTCCCATGGAAGCACCTCAGAGCCTGTGTGGTGTTGGCAGTTGTCTCATTCCAGTTGAGACGTTTAATCGCTCCATCCCCCAAATCTGCAAGGCACAGATGAGTTGTTTGACGTGATCACGAGCTCTGCTCTCACCTCTCCTCTCCCCTTGACAGAAAATTGCAGGAGACCCAGATGTCAACAGCCTCGAAGCTGGAGGAAGCCGAGCACAAAGTTCAAGCTTTGCAAACAGGTTTGGCGTGGCTTTTGTGACCTTTTCCAGGTGATCAGGTGGGAGGTGAGAGGGCAGGGATGGTTGGGTGTGTCAGGACTGGGTGTGAAGCAGCTCTTGGCATGCAGGGAGCTCCAGCAGAGCTCAGATGTGCTTTGTGAATCAGAGCAAACGCTCCTGTTGCAGCTGTCACTGGCAAATACAGGGACCAGGGGGCACACAGAGAATCAGAGCATCCCTGGAATTACAGCAGGCCATGGAACTTACCCTCCATGTGTGCTCTGCTTCCACACATGTCCAAACTGTGACAAATATCTGTACTGATCAGTGTGAACCCTGTTTCTTGCCTGTTGCTATGATTTGCCATTCATTTTCATCTCTGCATACTTCAAAATTCCAGGTCTGGACTCATTTGACTTTGTTTACTATGAGAACAGAAGAAATTTTATTCCCTGAACTACTGCAATAACTATTTCGAAGGAATAAGCAGTTTAGCCACCTTAATAAGAAACTAATAATGTCTAGCTTGGTTAAGCAGAAGGTGGAAATTCTTGCAATGCAACAGAAATACTGTAAGAAATTGTGAAAAAAGTCAAAACCCTATGGATTTTTCTAAGCCATAATGGTTTGCCTAGGTAGAAAGATAAAGCTAAGGAGGTGTACAGCTTTATTTTTTTTTCATCAGGAGATGTAGAGCCTTATTTATGACTGAATACTGCTATTTCAGTACTGTAATGTTTCATGTTTATGCCTTTTAGCCTTGGAAAAAACCAGGACAGAACTATTTGATCTGAAAACAAAATACGATGAAGAAACTACTGCAAAGTAAGATTTCCCTGTTTTCTTTCTGTGTCTTCCTTCAGGGTATCACTGATTTTTTTTTTGTTTTGTATCTGTCTGTTGGAGAGAGATGAGATGAGGGAGGCTCAGGCATCCAAATTTTTTGGAAAACATGGTCATAATTTGGCCTCCTATGGAGAGATTATTAGTTTTTATATTTTCTTCCCCCCAACAAGACACTTCTCCTGGCACACACGCTGCTGCATTCCTGGTTTCATTCTCAGGTGCTTCATCTGTGTATCTCTTACCCTGTATATCTCTTGTATTTTATTTAGAAATAGGGCAGTTTCAGAAATAAGGTATTCATTGTGATCTTCCCATCTTGGTGAAAACAAAGCTTCATTTAGTAAAAGATTTCTGTTTGACTCTTAGGCACCCTGGTTCTTTCTGCTTTTGGGGTAGTAGTCCTTGCTCTGCCAGGTTCACCCCTAATTACAGAGAGCAGCATTTTGGGCCAATTTTCCTTGTTTTCAAGTAGAACATGAAGGTAGTCTTAAAAAGATATATTCTTGTCTTCTTAATAGCTACTGTTTCCAATTATCCTCTGGTTTTATTAACCATCAGGGCAGGGAACAACAAAAGAGACAGACTGCTGCTGGTTTCCTTTGAACCCTTCATATTTAAGGAAAGTTAATAATGAGAAGGAATTCTCATGATCAGCGGGATTAAGCACAAAGAGTCATTTCAGTGTCTGGAAATGGGATGGGAACGAAGCAGCCATTTCAGATGGCTGGGACACTCAAGGGAAGGGCTGGGACTCAGTGTCACCTCCCTGTGCCCACTGCCCAGGGTTAAAAACCAGTCAAACTGGCGCCAATTTTAAATTTCTTACCCCATGGTACTGTGCCTGCTGAGGATCTGATTCCCCACTGAGGATGTGGGGAACCCAGCTGGAGCTCACAAAATTCAACCCACGGTGGTTTTAACAATCAGCACTTGGAGTTTAAACACCTTTTATGTCCTTCAGGATAATTTTTCAGGTGAATTTTGGTCTGGCTCTGGAAGACCACTTTCCTTTGAGCTCCATGTAGGATGAGTTCCATGGAAGGGGATCAAAAGTATTTTTGTTCCCTCATTGATCCATCCCTCTCTAAGGAATGTGAACAAATGCTGGTTCAGATTGAGCCTTAAATTCCTGCAGACTGACTTTGTTTTTTCCTGCACATAACTGATATTGTTGCTGTTATTTCATCTTGCAGTCACTTCTGGGAGAACAGGCAGAGATCAGTGGTTGTAGGCACTGAACCTAATAACCCCTGACCCTTTTTAATGTGTTTATTTGCAGAGTGCTTCATTTTTTGATACAGTTTCCCTAAGTGCTGTAATTTATCTTACACTGAGCAAAATCTGTTCTCTTAAAATATTTGTTTGCATTTCTAATCTCACTCTTTTGGGGAGATTCACACAGAAATATTTATTTTTTATATGATCTTGAGAGTGACTCTTACCTAATTTATATAGAATTACATAAAATTAGTGGCATCTGCAGTAACAAGAAGTTTATTGTGCTCTATATTTTATTGTGTTTATTGTGTTCTGTAGCAGAATGATTATGGAGACTGGCTCTGGAATAGAGTGGTCACAGAGCTGAATCCTGAAGCAGACATTAAGCTTGTACTTTATCTGCCAGACTAATGTACTGTGAAAACAAACTTGTAGGTCCTAATAACAGCAGAAATATTTTATCATTGTTTTGGATATTTATGGCAGGAATAGTTCTTGCATAACAACAGTTGTCTGTAGCGTTTCTAGCCCAAATTTTGCAATATGGAAATCTAGAAGAACATGAAAAGGGAACTGAATGTAGACAGTGAAATTGAGTCATCTATTTTAATTGTAAAAGCTGGGAGAAAGGCTGAAAAAACACCAATAAAAAGGGTGAAAGACAGTTTGATTCTTTTCTTAAAAGAAGCCCTCTTTTGATCTTAAGTCTGAAAAGCTACTTGTATTGCCAATTTTAATTTTATGTTTTAAAAACATGTGATTTTTATCTTAGGCCAGAATTGTTAGTTTTACAGACGCTTATTTGATGCAGATGAATTGGAGTGCCTTCAGGAAAAAACCAGATAATTGTCAATTTTTTAAAGCTAACAGTGCTTTTAAGATTTTCAGTCTCAGAATAAAGCTGTCTTTCAACTACTTGAAACTTTGAAAATCTTTCAAACAAGGCAAAAAACCCCCAAGAAGCCAAAGAAGTACAGAGTGAGAAGTCTTCATTATCAGCGTTAAGGAGTCTGGATTTTATCCTGGAGACCGTTTGCGGTGATCTGAAAAGTTGGAAATCATTATGTCAACTTATTTGTTTTATCTTTTCACAATGTCCCGTTCAAAGCACTCTACGTGCAAAGGGAGGGGCAGAGGCACAGCCAGGCACCTTCAGATGAGATCAGCAGCTGGAATTAAAATTTCCAGTCCAATTCTGTCATCCCCACGTAGAAAATTCCCAGCAGGTGGGTGTGTGCTGCCCCTGCCCCTTCCCTGAGCCCCAGCACAGCCCAGGGCCGGGCACTGAAGGTGTTAATGACAAAAAGAAGTTTATTATGTGCAGTCATTGCAGTCTGTCAGCTGGAATATCAGAAGCTGCCTTTGACAAGATGGCAGGAGCAAAGTTTTCCATGTGTAGGCTTGAAGTAAAATGTAATTAGCCTTTATGTGCAGAACAAGGATCCATTGATGAATACAGCTGGTCTTTGTTTTCTTCTGTCATTGAGTGTGGGAGGTAAAAGTGTTCTTCTTCATGTTTATTAATACAAGATTCCTTAGACAAATGGCAAGCACAGTTTAATATTTGTTGGAACACAGAGGGGCTTGCCAAAACAGTTGTTGTGTAAGAGGATTTCAAGGTTTTCAGATTATAATCATCTCTGGGTTAAATAAATGAATGATTACTCTGCCTTTTTCAATTAAAGAGGCACATCCTCTCTCGAGGCCTGACACTGATTTTGTTTGCTGTCCCACACATTCCTATCAGCAAACCTGGATTTAACCAACACTAATGAGTTTGATCTGGAGATTCTATCAGACCTGGAACTGAAAAGCAAACTCAGATTTGAGTCGCAGAGAAGTAAAAGAATATTGGGGTTGTCTTGTTTTTTTCCCTAGTGCAGCAGACTTTTTCTTTCTCTGTAGAAAAAGAAACATTCTGTATACATTTCCTCAGTTTTCCAGGGACAATCTGTTCTCTCTAACAGTGCTCTTTCACTTCTGGTTTGCTGCAGAATCCAAGCAAGTGTTTGGGATTCCCAGCTGAGTTCCCAGCCGGAATGGTTGGATTCCAGTTTTAGATCAATTCCAGAGCCACCTCTTTGCTCCGACCCCTGCTCTCCCCCAACCTAAATGAATTCTAATTGGAAAAGGACCTTGGGTTGCAGCACATACAGTAGGCCTGTTACATTACTGTTAACATGTGGGTTGAGGCTCCCAGCCTTTGATGAAAGAAAATATCGAATTTCACTGAAATGCTCCATTTTCACCAGCCAGCTTTAAGTAGTCTTGTGAGGATTTCGGGTACTGCCCACTCCCCCCCCCGCCCCAGTTCTGCAATAAAAAACCTTCATAAACAACACAAACCAGAAAATGTTTAGGCTAAGGTTGTCAGTCAGAGCAGCTCTGCCACCACCACTTTTGTTACCAGTGGATTTTTTATAAAATTCAGACTTTTTGTCCTTCTAAAAGTAGCACAGGAATGCAACGGAGAAGGAGCTTTTCATATTTACTGAAGCAGTCATCCACACACAGCTACTTTCAATAACTTGTAGAAAAACATTTTGCCTCCAGTATATGGGCAGAGAATTGTTGTCCTTCCATAGATCAGACTGATTATTGTGTTTTTTGGCAGCACAGCTAAGGATGACACAGGAGGACAATGGGAACAGGAGGAGATGCCTTTGGGTTTTGGCTCTTTGGGGTAAACGATGATCTACTTCCACATTATCAAACAGACCTGTCCTTCAGGCATCAGTGTGGGAAAAAGTTCTACTTTATTATCTACTATTTATTTATGTGCTTTTCTGCATGGAAGGAGTGTAGGATTAGGCTTGGAGACAGGGGACCAGAAGTTTTAGAGAATTCCTGAAGAGTTATTTCTGCCTGGAGTTACGTGGTGGAATTGAAGTATTCATGGGAAATCTTCTGTTATATCAGGGAAAATCTCAGTTAACTTGGACTTAAGGGGAATAATTCCCAATATATAGCGAGAATTTAATTATTTACTTTAATTTTTTTTAAACAAGTCTTTCTTGTTTAAGTGCTGGCTGGTGACAATATATCACTTCTCACATGTTTGTAGTCTTCCATTTTGGTGGTGCTCAGGGTCAAACTGAATAAAAAATAAAGTTGTGCTCCCTCCAGCATCACATAATTACTGTGATAAATGGTCTCATATGCTGCTTCCCCCCATTGAGCCTGAAGTACTGTAGTTAGTGGTGGTGTTGGACATGACATGAAATAGCTTCTATTTGCTGTGCCTTTAAGGTCTTAAAGTTTCCTATTTCCTGTTCCTTTGATGAGTCATTAACTTCTAATGCTCAGCTTTGGAATTATTGCTGTATTTAAAGTGATTTCCCTAAAAACAGGAGATGAAGAACTTCATAGGCCATGTCTCTTTTCAGAGTTTTTCCTTCAGTTTCCTAGTCCTACTGCCACCATTGAAACCCCAGGACTGGTGGCAATGAAACTCTGAAAAACCAGGGAAGATTTTACAGAGAACTATTCTTTTTTAAGGAAAAAAAAAAAAGTGAAGAAAAACTGAATGTTTTGAATCTTACAGAAAGCTCTGTCTGCATTTAACATTTGAGGTTCAAAGTTTTAACTGTGCCTTATGCAAAACTCACCAGGCTGAAAGTCACTATTAAAACATTAATATTTTGCTTAAAAACCTGTAAGTGAAGATGAATGGAAATACTTGAGAGATGTGCTTCTTCCTTTGACCTAAAGCTTTGGTGTGAAAGAGGGCTTGAGAGCCCATGTGCAAACCAGCCCTTTTT